ATTAACGATATACTTCTATATTTATAATTCTCACTAAGTTGTAACTTATTTCGGTTAATGTAGAAATCATTTTTAATATTGTAAGTATAACTCCTTATTGTCAAAAATTATTTATTTTTTAATAGAAGTATATTACAAATATATGAGATTATTAATTATTGAATTAATAATTATTTATTAATGATATATATTTATTGTCTAGTAACCTCCCACGTGACTTACGACCAATAAGAATTATATTACCATCGTGAATATACTCAACTAACTTTCTTTCCTTCTACGTGGAATAAGTTAAACTTATGTAATTAAATAATAATATTAATAAACAACAGGTAAACTCGAACGGGGAAAGAACAAATTCTGAAGGTCTGGAATTGATTCGCATGAGAGAAATCGTTTGACTTCAGTGACGATACTCGCCCACGCAAATTATCATGGTCTAACGTCATAAGTGCTACGTCATTCGTTTCTTGGATTTATCTATAAACGTTATAAATTACGTGCAATGCGTTAATATTATTCGCAAAAAAGAAAAAAAAGAAAAAATATCACCGTTTCTCTTTCCTTCTCATCCAATAACGTTAAATCTTGTTACTCGCGTTACGCAAGAAAGAAAGAAGAAGAAGAATTCTTCCGAATCATCGAACACCGTACTTTCTTTAAGACTTAGTCACGATTTTGAGTATCTTCATAATAAAATCATGTTATTCTTAGAATTTTAATATTCGATTCATTCATTAATTTTCGTATTCCATTGATTTCAAATTTCAACACGTTACTCGAGTAAATCAAATTATCTTATCGAATATTCAAATAAAAGTTTCAAAGACATTTGAGATGAATAAATAATGATCATAGTTTTGACTTACCTTGATAGAAGAATTCAGGATAGTTTTGTTGATAGTTCCTTTAAGGATAACGGAAAGCTTTCCTCTTCTTCAATCAAATTCGGTGTCTGTAACAATAGAAGGAAAAGAAAAGTTATAAGATTTTGTTTTTCCTTCATACGTAAAAGTTTCGTTTGGGGATAAACCTGAGAGAAAAGAAATAAATGCATATCAATCGGAAAAATATTTTTTGCAGGATTTGTGCAACAATTTTCCAACATATGTCGTAGATATTATTTATCCTGTAATATTTACACTTTCCATTTCTTTCTCTTTCATTTATTTTGTAGAATATACCATAGATCGTATCGCCAGGTAAATCAAAGCGAAAGAATGATAAATAAAATACAAGTAAAAAAGAAGCTGTCATCCTTCGAGCAAAACTTGTATTGTCTCCGCTTAATGATACGTTTCGAATAAGCATCGAATCCTAGTTACGAGTATCTCGTGTCCTTCGGCTTGTGTGTGCTAGCTATTTTTCTATATTTTCTTTTTTTTTTAAATAAATGATTTAACTTTTACCTACATAGATAGTGACACGAATAATTTTATTAACAATGTTTTTTTTTTATCAATGATCATACGATGTTAGAATATAATTCAACGTACAAGTTATTATTTTTCCAATAAAAACAAATTCAATTTTAATATTACAAGACATAAATCTTCAATAGAATAATTAATATACCAATTTTCTAATAATATATAAATTTTTATATATTTCTTAAAGTATCTAAACAATATGATAAGAAAATGTGTCAATTACTTTGAAATATTTGTCAAAATATTATTTGTTAATACAAATGCAAATAATATATATATTGTGTCATTAGAATTATTAAAAAAAATATAATTAATAAAATCAATCAACACAATACTAGTAAACTATTCCAATCCAAATTAAACACTTCAATTATTAATATTAAACAATCAAAAAGATTAAAAAGAGACAAACGTATAGGGTGAGAAATAAAAAGGTCAGAAAAAGAGAGAGAAAGTAAATCTGATAGAAACATTCGTCTCATTTCGAAGAAGAAATCTCAACGTGAGCGTGGTTCGAAGTAGTATCAGGATACGATAAGAAATATACATCTGGTTCGTTCACTTGGTTCCAGTTAGCATGAAAGATTATCGAAACGTGATAGAGAAGAGTATCCTCTCTTCAACGAGAGAGACTGCACGGCACCTGCTTTCATTTTCCAAGTAATCGCTCTGGATTTCGCAAGAGTTTGCTCCGGCTGTTGGCATTTGTAAATTCTGCATCCGTTCGTGCTCTCCTGACAACGCATACCGAGAACGAACGAAGGATTATGTATTAACCTATTACACATACATAGATACATACCAACATTCGTACATCTTTAAACCATCTATGAACTTACTACATATACACATGTATTAATACATACGTACTTACATTTTGAAACCATCTATGAATTTACTGCATACATACATGTATTAATACATACGTACGTGTATACATTTTTAAACCATGTATGAATTTATTACATATACACATACATATATTCATACATACACATGTATATACGTAGTTACATTTTGAAAGCATCTATGAACTTATTACATACACACATGTATTAATACATACACGTATACATACGTAGGTAGATACATTTT